CAGTACAACTCGATAAAATGAAATAAGCTACGTACGTATCAATTTTTGCCGAATAACCAAAATAAACTATCAATTTTGTCGAATAACCAAAATAAACTTTTTTTCTGCCAAATAACCCAAATTATTTGGCAGCCCGATCATAGTAATCTGATGGATAATTAGATATATTCCCTGAAAAAGATAATGACATACTACATATAAGAGAATAGGAGAAAAACAACATAGGCCTATGTTGCTGTCTATATTCGGGTGTATGCAAACAAAAATTAAGCATATGTTTTAGCTTACAGAATGCTGGCACTGTAAGCATCGAAGGGTACAGTGCAGAAGATTTGTCATTCAGTATAGGTTTATCTTATACTAGGTATAATATAGGCAATGCCTTCATATATCTCATCATCATTCATAAGCATAAATCTCATAAAAAAATGAAAAATAAACAAACTTAGCATTAATTGATTTTTTAGTATTAAATAATAGGAAGTGTTTATTTATAAGATTAGTATACTAAACTATTTTTTATTTCAGTCACAACACCAAAAAATTTATAAAGATGCTTGGGAGGTAGAAAAGAAAAAGGTTTGTAAATTATAATAAATTTTTGCTATTGATATAAGAAGTAATTAAAATATTTTATTCCAGCATCAATCAGAAGAACAAGAACAAAATCTAACTATAATTCAAAATAATATTAATTTTATAATGGGTGGATGTGTAAGTAATTATTATATAAGAAGTTTTTGGCTCAAATATTAACATTGCTAGCCTTTTTAATAAACGATTAATTATTTAGAATGCTAAAATACATGGCGAATGCTCAAAAAAAAGCTTAAGTATATATACTGAACTATTTAACATTTTGCAACACTTAGATCTGAAAACTATAGAATCTGAGATTCTAATAGTTCAGAAGTAATTGATATTATGGAGAGTGAAGACATATTTACGAAGCTATTAACTTTGGAAATGAAACAAATTTTATCAAGGTATTCATTCTGTAATAATGAATTTCTCAACCAAATTGGTACAATGTTAGATGAATTTGTAAGTTCATATAGTGAACTAAGAACTGATTTCGATTTGGCTTTAATACAATCTATAAGCTTTCCCTATAGAAAAATGATACTTGGAACTAGACACATTCTAATGATGACTTTTGACTTATTAGACAAATTGTAAGTTAATATGACATTGCAAGTATTCTTATATTAGTAATAACTTACTATTTTTTTTACTTCAAGCATCACATTTGGAGTTGTAGGCTATTACTAACAGAAGAAGATTATAGCAAGAATTCTTACATAATTTATGCGATATCCAAAGTACTAGATCTGCTTTTTATATACTCTAAATGGTTTCTAAAAATAAGTATAGTTCGAACAAACAAGCAAATCTTTATAAAGTAGAAAAAATCGGATGGGTTCTAATATTTTTTATAGAAGGATTCCTAAATTTTCAGATCGGTATAGCTAGAATACATCAGAATTAGGATCAAGATTAGAGTTAGAGTTAGCTATAGTGATTAGCAGAAGCTATAGATTTTTACAGAAGATCACCAAATTTCCAGGTTGGTATGATCGAAATGGATCAGGATTAAAGTCAAGGTTAGGATAGGGTTGCTATATTGGTTAGCAGAAGCTATAGTAAAATTATCAACTGGGCACTTTTTACTTAATAAACAACTATAGTTTTATTAATAAAATTTTTAGTAATCTTGGGTAAAATTAATCAATTCCGGCCCGTTCTGATGCATCCCAACCTGGAATTTTAGAGATCTCCCTATATGAGTTGGAGCTATAGTAAAATTATTAGCTAGGCACTTTTTAATTAATAAATGACTATTGTTTTATTAGTAAAATTTTTTAATAATCTTAATTAATTCTGACCCATTTCGATGCATCCCGACCTGAAATTTTAGGAATCTCCCTGTATGAATTGGGTTCTATTAATTTAAGGAAAAAACCTGACCTTCAGGTTTTACTGAAATTAGATATGAAGGCAAATGAGTTGGTTTTAGTGAGATTTCATGCTTATTTTCAGAACAAGATAAAGAAGGTTTAGATTAGAAAAAGCTGGTTTGTATTTGTAAGGATTGTTTCAATAAATGTTATAAAATTTTTTTTGAAAATAGGAAAGACAGTTCTTCTGAGGCAAGGTTAATACATGTCACAGATTAAAATGAAATCTAATCAAAATGAAATTTTTCTGTTTTTTAAAAAAAATTTAAAATTTTTAGGAGCTATTTTTGGTTATTTTTAGCATTAGAGGTAGAATTTAGGGTTAGGTTTATTAATAAATAAGTATATATAGGTTTTATAGACTCTAAAGGTGGGCATGAGAGATCTCCAGTTTTATTTTGATCAGATTTCATTTTAATCTGCGACAATACATTGTGAATTAGGAAAAATTTTTGTTTTAGAGATCCAGATAATAGGAGAATATATAATCGTTTCTATATTGAATTTATTTGAAGATGTTTTTTATTGGGTTTATCGAACTTGCGAAATCACTATACCTTTATGAATTTCTATATGTCAGGTTGTTGAGGAATTTTTAAGGGGTAGTCTCAAATTAAGGGCTATAGTTGAAGAGATTGTCAGAATGTCGGTAAATATAAAAAGATGAGATCAATCTTCTACCAACATGTGAGGAGCGAACTCTATTAACATTGATGATGTCAACGACATATTCTCAACCAAAAAATTCTTAAATTAGATAAAAAAATTTCTAAGAATATATATATTTTTATCTTGTATTTTATTTTTTATAATAAAGCTGGCCTATTTCAGTGCATATATAAACAGTTTATTTTTGCATGTATATTTCGTAAATTTATTATTGTATTGATATTGATATACATTACTTGCATATGATCAAGAATTTTTCTTGACATTTTACACTTCCTGAACTTAGTTCAGAGATTTTTATCATGTGATTTATATCCCTATGATAAAGAATTGAATATGTCTGCACTTTATATAAAACATATTTATTATTTTGTTTTACTGGCACCTGCATCTTCTTGAAAAGTTTCCAGCCTAGCACTAATATACTCGATTCTTAATTGTACCCCATCTACCTTTTGTTGATATGAAACTCCTGGGTTTGCAAGAATATTATCAAGATTAATTGGAAGATTGCTATTGATAACTAAACGTTAACCAGTTTGATTTTCTCTTTGAATTGATCTATAATTATACAAAAACGATAAAGATAAGAAAATGAGCTCTACAACCACTTTTTTCTATCCGAATTTATTTTTCTAACGATGTGTTGATATTGATGCCATACATATATGATCGATAATTTTTTTATAGTAAATCTTCTTATGTAGCATGTATCTAATCGTGTTTTTTCTATGCTAATAAACAAACTTTTGAACATACCTGTATCTTGTATAAAACAATGGCAGATACACAATCCAGAATTGATTTTTCAAGTGAAAGAATTTCTAAACTTGATGCAGATGATAATGATCTTTTAGCCAGAATTCAAAAGCTGGAAGATGCAGATAATGATCTTAAAGTTAGAATTACGAAATTGGAACTGAAGCTGATATTTAAGAAAAATCGTAAATTCCATAATAATTGTATTTAGATAGCTATGGAAATTCTTAATGAGGGACCAATAATTGAGTATCGGCCTCCTTTTTTGAATGGATTAGAATTTGACGCCTTTTTTAAAAAACATCGAATCGCATTAGAAGTACAAGGGGTTCAGCATCGGCTTCATAATACTGGCTGGTATAAAGATGTTAAAAAGCTCGAAGACATTGTTAATCGCGATCGTCTAAAAAGATGCATGTGTCAAGATAACGGAATTTTCCTACTCGAGGTTGGTATGATGAAAAGCCAGAAATCGTCATTCCGAAAAGAATACAAAAAATCAAGTGTTTCGTTAATTAGGCATCCAAAATTTTTGATCTATAAGTCAATTCATAATATATAAAACTTAATATCTAAATCACAGGCAAGTGTTTAATATATAACTCATAATTTTTTTGTTACTTCATCTATTAGCATCTGTTAACTTTAATCAGTATAAATACGAAGGACCCGAAGCCTTCGCAAAGTAGTCTGAATTTCGATTTTTTTCGTCCACATATTTAGCAATTAAAATTGGTAATTACACATTGTAAAATAACTCGGTATGGTAAAACTTTATTGATTTGCATTACAATTGTTACATTTCATAATACTGTATATAAAACTTCAGGATCACGACGCGTGCCACAAAGTTAATACAGTCAGACCCCCCTAAATGCACCCCCTCTAAATGCAACACCTCTCTAAATGCACGTCTTCTTTTGGGCCCAACTAATATTACATATATAGATTTTTACCTCCCTAAATGCAACACCTCTCTAAATGCACGTGCTAGAGCTGGTCCCGACGACGTGCATTTAGAGAGGTCTGACTGTATAATAACTACTATTCTCGATTTCGAATAATGTACAAATGCAGAATAAAATAATAAAAAAGATTATGTATTATCTTGTTCATTTAAAACTAGTTGTTGAACTTGATACAAATCAATGATAAAATTAACAGGCGCAGTTCCAGTTGCAAGAGAAATAGGAACAGTTGGTACGTACCCATCTGCAGGTGGAAGTGGAAGTACTGGATCCCAAAAGACTTGTGCAATTGGGATAATAACTTGATATTGAGGGAGGTTGGGTGCATTACAATTAGTAGGGGTTTGTTTTTTTCGAATAAGGGTTCCAAACTGCCACTAAAAGTATTTATATTATTTAACTATTAAAATATAAATTACAGACTTGCTTCATACCTCCTGGTACTCCGCTCCCTGTTGCCACAATCTAGCCGTCATAGATCTGTGATATTGCCCAAGAGTATTTTTTCTATTTCTTTTTTTGTGTAGTTTAATTCCAAGTACATATCGTATGTAAATTTGATTCATCCATAGTTGGCACTTGTTATTCCATTCTCTAGTGGATTGATTGTTGCCTACTTCACAAACGATTCGCGCATGTGGCCGACCCTATGTTGAAAATATTAACTTTAGAAAATCAAACGACAAATATGTTCATGCATCAAAAATAAAATACATTTCTGTCTCTTGGAGGTGAGCCTGGATATGGAATATGAGGTTGTTGGACATGATTTGCATTTGGAAATATTGTAACATCCGATGCAATTAATTGGCCGTTTCCAGAAGGACTAAAATGAACTGAGGAAAGGTATTAATTTCGAAGGACAATTATGGATCAAAAAGTCAAATAAGTTAAAAGAATTACTTACATTCATCAATACCAACGACTATTGGGGGGTCAACAACAACATTATTATTTGGAAAATTGAAGTATCGTTGCAACAACGAAGCAACTAAACCATGTTCGCGATTGCTCATGTCAATTATAAATACATCGCCGTTATCTCTTCGTTGATATTTATATCCAGAAGACTCTCGACGTTCAAGGAATTTATTATATTTTTTTATCGTTATATTTGAGCCGATTTTATAAGGCAAACTGACAATCCATTACAAGTCAGATATTGAAGTATTTAAAGTGTTTTACATTTGATGCTCGCTTACCTGTCCTCGTTTAACGGCTGATCCGGAAAATGAGGATGGTTTGGAAGTAATAAGTTCAGAAGTTTCTCCATTACTGCTGTACTGGAGGATTTGAAATCAAAATAATCTAATTAAATATGATATAAAATTCTCACAATCAGGTGACAAAAGTTTGTATTTGAATATTTTTTGTATTAAACGGAATCGAAATAACAGTATACATAATGGCCAATACTGATTCATACAATCGCGTAAAAATAAAAAATGGTGTGGTCCAACCCTCTTTATTTAATAAAAAATTGTTGCCGGAACAACAATATAAAAATATAAATAAAAAATACAAATTAAAAATACAAATAAATTTTTTTTTTAATTATCTTCTAGCACTACGACGATGTGAATAATATTTTGATCAGGATTTATACTGAAATGGTCATAGATCCTACTATTTGGATCCATATTTATAAGGTAGTCCCCAGCGGTAGGAGAAAACCTACGAAGCTGATAAGGATCATTTCTTAATTCGGGTGGTAAGCTGGCCAGCATAGCAGAAGTTCATTTTGATTGGCTGTTGATATACCTCGGGTAAGATGTCGATCATACCTCGGATAAAGTGTCGGATAAAGTGTCGATCATATGATTATGTACCATGAATCATTTCTGATTGGCTAATTTATTTATTATCACCGTAACTAAATAATTGCCGGCAAAGTTTATACTTAAACAAGTTTCCTTTGAACGAAATAGAATTTATTCGAACCTTAAATATTAACTCTTAAAAAAAGCGAAAAATTAAGCTTGCTCTGGATATTGAGTCACCATCTTAGAAATAAAGTTGAGCCAGTAAGACACAAATATTTTAATTAAAATTGCCACATTTATCACAATCGTTACCAGGACAACTCGGATCTCTAGGTGTGCCTGGACATAATCTTCAAGGCGCTCATGGAATACCTCAGGGTCTTCTCGGTCAAATAGGTCATCAAGAACAGATTAGTCAAGGGGAGCATGTTGGTCACATTGGTCAACATGAACATGAGCGCCAGCAATCTTCACATTTGAGTCAACTAGGTGCGCCTGGAACACATTCATCAATTGACCTATATAATGATGTAATATTTTTTTTTCATAATAGGTTAATATACTTTTTCACCCATGTAATATACCTCTTATATACCATACAATATATCCGGGCATAAATCAAGGTTTGTTGTTACGTGGAATATAAAATACCCGGATACTTACCACAGTAATTTATAATACACAAACGATTATGACTTGAATTTGTTCTTGGGACTCCTGAAGGTTATATTGAATTAGCTAAGCCATACTAATTACGACCTGAATTTGCTCTTAGAATTCCTGAATATTATATCAAATTAGCTAAGTGATACACGACTACAAGCTAAATATGCTCTAGGATTCCTAAATACTATATTGAGTTAGTTAAGCGATGCACTGATTCTGATCCAAAAAAATGGTTTGCTGTTTATAATATTTGGAGATGGTATGGATTCAAATAGCGCAAATAAATTAAAAGGTAATTTATATGTTAGTAAAATAATAATTTAAATATAGTATAATATGTTAATAGTATTTATTATTATTAAAAAAAATTTTAAATAAATAATAAAAAAATTGTGTAATTATAAAATTAGGTTGAAGAAGTTTTAATTTTAAACAGATATAGAGGGATATTATAGTTATCGAATAATTTATTTATTATAAACTATTTAGTAAATATGTAGTATATATTTGCTATAGAAAATATTGTAATATAATTTTAGTGAACAGATCCGAAATGGGTTTTGTTGAGAAAAAGGAATATCGGAATTGTGGAGTTAGGAAAATAGTATTTGGGAAATTGTCTTCGGATAAATAAGCAACAATATAGTATTTAAATTTTTAAATTTTAGTATATGATATTGCTTAAGTTAAAATTTATATTATAATTAATAATTAATATTATAAGTATCAAAAATATAATTTAATATATAATTAGTTTATACAGAGATATTAAATAATATAATAAAATAATTAATAATTAAAACATATTTTATTTAAATAATTTAATTTATAAATTTATTATTTTTATTTTAAAAAAGATTAATAATATAGAATTTAAGGATATTCTATAGAATAAGTGGGCAAACTTTGCAAACTCTGCAACTCCATTATTAAAAAATTAATGATTACTAATTATTAGTGAAGCTTATTTCTTATATTGCCTATTTATTCTATAGAATATCTGAATTGGATATTAATATTATATAATTTTATAAAATAATTTTATTTATTACCAATTATGTATATCATTAAGAGCTGTTAAATATTTTAAATTAATACTATCCTGTGCTGATAAAAATTGTGTTTTATTTGTTTCATTATTTTCATCATCATTATTTTCATCATTATCATCATTATTATCATCTTCTATAAGTTCTTTTAAATTATCATCATTATTTTCTAATGTTTCTACAAATGAGTTTACATTATCAAAAATTCCTTTTTATAATATTGTATACAATATTCACATCTATTATAATTTTCTTTATAACAATCCAAATAATATCCATGTCCACAAATTAAAATAATTTCATTTCCTTCTATAGTTTCAATAAGATCTTTTTTACAAAAATTATATTGATTTAATGTAGGTGGAAATGATGAATGATATCCAGTAGGAAGACTTCTAATATCTACTGTTAATTAAAGAGCTGATAATGTAAATTTTTTCTTATTTTTAGAAAATTTAGTTATTCCAAGATTATTATAAATAAAATGAAAAGTTTCTAATAAAAATATTGATGTTTTTTAAATTAATATATCTAAAGTTGAAGAAGAATATAGATATTTTCATGTATTTTTATAAAAATTTATAAAAGAATAATTATAATAATTTAATATATATATTTGTTTTTTTATAGTATCTGCTGAATCCTTTGAAGTTGTATTTGCTCAAATCTTACTATGAATATTTTCAACAAAATAATCATTAAAATTTACAAGATAAGATTTTAATAATTTACTAAATAGATGATTTTTATATTTCCAATAAAAATAATCAGATAAAAATGCCAAAGGTGCTTTGTTATAGTTTTTTCTATTCCAATATAATGCAAATGTCCAAATTTGAAAAATTGTTTCTATATATTTTTCAAATGATCCAGATCTAAAAATAATAGCATATATATCCAAAGCTGCTAGAATTAAATTGTCTAATAGATCAATAAGCATTCTATATTCTATATCTTTGCATAATTTAGAAAATTTTAAAATAATCATATTATTAATTTTTTTCAACTTTTACTTGCTAATTTTAAAAGAAGATTGATTTTATAAGGTTTAGGATTTTTGGCTAATTGTTTTTTCTTTAATCCAAAAACAAATTTATATAATTTGTTAAAAAATTCATAATAAATTATTAAAATATGTTGTCTTGTATTTAAAGAAACATATAAAGGTCCTAAAATTAGAATAAAATTTTTAATATTTGTTGGAATAGTAATTTGATAAGTTGGATTATTTTTTTTAAAATCTAATTCTTTTTGTAATAAAGTAATAGTTTTTCGAATATATAATTGTTCTGACCAATCTGCTATAACTGGTAAAATATTTTGATCTAAATATTTCTATAATGATGGTATTTGTGTTATCATTAAAAGTGCTTTAATATAATCTTTTGTTAATTTTAATTTAGATTCTTCAATGTTAATAATTTGAATATTTCTATTGATCTTTCATTTTTTCATTCACAAATTGCATCATCATAAATATGAATTGTAAGAAGTTCTATTCGATCAAAATGTTGAAATTTTTGAATAGTTTGATTACTTCAATGAAATTTTTAAATATTATAGCTTATATCAAAATTTCTATTATATTCTCCAAGTAAATATTTGTTAATTAAACTTGCATCAATATTAAGAGGATTAAAAAATGAAATATTATTAAATGTTGCTAGAATTGGTGCACAATTTGTAATTTTTTTAGTAACATATGTAGCTATATATATACATTTGATAACGATGTTATATCTGATTTTTTATAAGAATGAATTGAATGATAATTATCAATATTAAAAATATGCATATTATTTTGCTAAATAAATAAATAAATTAAATTAATATATTAAAATAAAAATAAAAATTTAAATAATTATTAAACATTTACTTACATTATATGTAAAATAATTAGAAATTTTTGTTAAATGTTCTTTTGCTATTTTTTTTTGAATATTTCTAACTATAACCAGTGGTGATCATCACCACCCTTTTGTATAACCAAAAATTAGTGCTTATGATCTACATCACGTGATCATGAACGAACTAATCAAAACGAATATTCGTATATATGTTACGGCTTTTAAACTTGACACAGGTCAAATTGATCAATTAAAACATCCTGGCCGGCATCAACATAATTCCGGCTATCCTAACCCTAAAATTCTACCAGTGACCAATTTAACCTGTGTCAAGTTTAACTAAGCCTAAAAACTGTAACATATACATATATACTGTACATACAAACATCATAATTACTAAATTCTTTTATTAATAGGATAATTAATTCGAATGCATCACCATTACATATACAAATACCAATACTATAAATTAATCCATTTCGCTTATTCTATAATCGCTCACTTCAGCTGTCGCTCCTTTTTCCTAGCCTCTCAGTCTAATATAATTCAACCTAAATACTAACCCTAACCTAAACTAATTCAAAACAACAAATTTTAACTATGAATTCGCAAAAACAACAAATCAACATGAAAGTAAAATGACTTCACGGCACAATGAACTACACCAGCACAATAAACTACACTAGCATAACGAACAAAACACCAAAAACTTGTTGCTCAACAAACATATCTCAGTAACCTATCTGGATAACAGCTATTACCTGAAAAGAAAAGCTAGTTAGTACTTCTATAACACAACACAAAAAAAAAAACAAAACAAAAAACAAAAGAATACTTAGCTCCAAAGTTCAATTTAACGTACCAACAATATAGTAAATTACCTGCACGACGCGACAAATATTCAGCACCAATGAACCATTCTAATAACTATCTAAACAACATCTGTCACCTAAAAAGAAAAGTTTATTAGTGCTTCTAGAACACAATACTAAAACAAAAAAAAAAAAAAAAAAACCAAATACTTAGCTTCAAAGTCCAATTCGACATACAAAAGATGCAGTAAATCACCAGCACAATGTTAAAACAACGAATACAATGACATATACAGCGCAACAAATATTCAGAACAAATGACAAACGTATTCCAGTAACTTAATGACATCCGCACCTGAAAAGAAGAGCTAATTAGTACTGCAAAACACAACACTAAAAGTAAAAAAAAGAAAAAGAATACTTAACCCAAGTCTAATTTGACATATCAACAGCGCAGTGAATCACACTGGTACTAAAAAGAAGCTAAAAAGATGAACTAGTTA